CCCTAAATCCTGGCCTGCTGAGAAAACTGTGGTGCTTCTACTATGAATTCAGGTTTATACAGCGACCTTGGGCTGATGTTGCTCCCCGTGGAGACTGAGACATGTCAGCAGTTGACGTGAACGTTTGACTGCGACAGACGTAACCCGTCGCCCATCCGACAGCGACAGTTCGCTCGATCGACGAGGCGACAGGTCGGCCGCAGTTGACGTCTCCGTCGATTGCGACCGTCGGTATTTCGCAACCGTCGACCGTCAGCGCCACTGTGTGGGCGATTCCCTAGCGACTTGCCACCGGGTGTAACACGCGTTGTCGGGGGTGCACGGTGCTCGACGGCGATTGGCCAATGTCCGTCGAGCACTGTTCGACAAATGTCCCCGAAATTGCAATAGTTCGGCTGACATATATATTGGCATAAGAATACGACATTGAACCCGCGAGTTTCGGAGGGTGTTTTGGCCTGGTCAGCCAGGAATTTTCGGGGGCCCGGAGGGATTCCGCGGGTTTTTTGTTTTGCCTCAATTCCATTTGTGCATGTGATGACGTCCCCCGTGTGTATATAATTGGGTAGGTTTTCGCACGAATCGAGCGATCTTGTAACTTGCGACTGGCGAGGGACCACATTTCGCAAGGCCTACCACATTTTGTTTCTCTTCGCTTCACAAGAGCCCAACCGAAAAGAAGTGCACTGTTCTCTCATTGATGTGGCCGTACCGCACCACCCTGTATTACCATACTAAACCAGCTACAACCCATATGAAAAGTAGTAGCATCCATTTCGTTTCAACTCCTCCCCCGCCTAGATGACTTGAAAGTGAGATTGGGATGCATTCAGCGTGAACTCCTGGGTAGTACCCTCCCGTGCAGTCAGGGCGTATCCCTGTGTGGTGGCAGGGCCGCTGTAGATGGCAGCCTGCCACGAACACATAAAACGCCAGGCTGGTGTCACGAAATTTGGCGCGCGAATACAGGTGCGTGATTGGGTAATGTCCCAAAAATGTCACTTCAATGCTACCAAATACGAGTCGCGCGCGCCTCGGTAAGAATGTTGGTGGCATGCGGTTTTCCCGCATGCCACCAACTCTGCCATCTACAGTGGCCCTGCCACCGCCCAGGGATACGCCCTCAGCGCAACATGGGTAGCGCGTGACCTGGGTTCAGCGAATGCTTTTCTTAGGGTGCATTCCTGGTTGGTGGCAGGGCAACTGTTCACATCGAGTTGGTGGCAAGTGTACCCAAAAATTCAGTGGGCCGGAAAATGCGCTTGCCACCAACAGTTGCCCTGCCACCAACTCAGGAATGCACCCTTAGTTTCAGCCCATTAGGGATGGTTAGTTCTTTATGGAAAGGGTATGCTAGAGCTCCGTGACGATTAAGTCAGATACTCCATCTGTTATGCTGCAAAAGCGCATTGCCACCGTCAGATTGTCAACTAAACAAGGCACCTCGTGGGAATGAAGAGAGTTAAAGGTGAGGTAAGAAAGAACATGCCGTAGTAAAGTCTGCTCTTGTTCACCATCATGATTCGGATCGGATCATTTTGATCGGCAACTTCATTAAGATATTGCTGCTTGCTTGTATTATCCAGGACTAGAGCTTCATCGGAAAATCACCATGAAGCAGACAACGGGCTTTCGGATTTTGTCGCTTCCAGACGAGATCCTCACAGTCATATTTCAGTGTCTTTCAAGACGTTCGGATCGGCTCAATCTCGCTCTCACTTGCTCGCGCTTTCACCACCTGATAAAGCAAGCACGACTTTCACTCTTTCTAACCATTCATAGTTCCCCGTTGGAGCTCGTAGAACGATTGACTCGCTTGTTTAACGCCGGGTACACTTGCGTTACAAGTCTGGTCATCTCTGGAGAATCCTTTTCGCTGGATTCAAGAAGTCAGAAATGCTCCATCAATCTAGAAGACATTGCATGTCTTTTGTCGACCATTGCCTCTACTTGTCCCAAATTGGAGAGTTTACGAACATATGGCCTTGACTACTTGGAAGAGAGTGTCTGGAGGAAGCTGGGTGAAGGATGCAGGTGAGTACAAGATTGGCTCTTTTGTTGCTTCACCCTTATCATCCCAATTCCGCCTGTTTAGCTGTTTCCAATCTAGCTACTTTTTCCTGGCTGAAATTATTCATTTGTCCACGCAGGCTTCTGTCAACCTTGGGAGTTTATTTTACATCACCACCTGCCACTTACCCTCCATTTGACATATTTCGCTCATTAGAATCCCTCTCGCTTGACCTTGACGGACTTTCCTCACACATTCCCTCCCTCAGTCTCTGCTCCTCCCTGTCTTCCCTCGCCCTCTGGAACGTCAACGATCTCCAACTCTCCAAACTTGCGTCCTCCTCCCCTCTTCCCTCCTTACGGTCTCTCACTCTCCATAGAGCACTTCTCACGCGCTCTTTATCATATCTCGCTTCCTTTTCCAACCTTTCATCACTTTCCTTTGATTCATGCATGCGGCTGGATGTCGATGATATGCAAGTTATTGCTTGCTCTCTTCACTGCCTCACACAATTGACACTGCAGGAGTGCTTCCTGATTTCAAGCTCAGGTGTTGCAGCAGTTGTTGAGAGCAACCCCAATCTCACAACCCTCTCTTTGCAAGAAGGCTCATGTCTCCTATTCAGTCCATCACGGTTCAAGGCCTTGCTTGCTTGCTGTCGTCAGCTTTCTACACTTAACCTATCTAGAGGACTTGTACTTCATCCCAGTTTGATTGCAGACTGCAGCAGTCTGCAGAGTCTCTCCATCAATAATGGAAGCGGATCTTTAGAAAGCTTGGCTGGTATGCTGCTGCGGGTGGAGAAAGCAAGCACAGATGGAGGGAACAGTATGAGGCAGGAGAAGGCTGGAAATGGGGAAGGTGCAAGGCAGAGGGGAGCGAGATGCAGCAAGGTGGTCAATAAGGCCTTGATATGGGGAAGGAGAGGCCATTTGGTCCGTGTAGCCGCTGCTGCTGCTCGTCAAAACACAGTCTTGGCTTTGAAGCAGTGGCATGAATTGCATGGTGAATGTTCACGTTTTCACGGGTCGCTACGACAGGATCTGCTGGACTCCATTCACGTGTTAGAGAATGGAGGGGTGACAGGTTCAATTGGTGAAGCGCATTCTACAGCTGCTCATTTTAGCATGAAGATCTCTGCATGTAATCTCGTAAAGCAGGTCCGTGCTGAGGCTGTTGCTGCCTTAGAGGGCGAGGAGACAGTAAAGAGAATTATCTCATATGCTGAAGACTCCTCAGCCTTTATTGTGAGGCCTGGAGAAGCAGTGAGAGCAGCGGAATCAATGGCAGTACCAGTGGGAACAGCAGCAGCCGGTTCAGTATTAAGGCAAGGATCAGCAGCTGAAGAGGGACCAGGATGGCCTTTAGTGGATGGAAATGACGCTACTGGTTCGGATCCGGAAGGAAATTTTGAAGCCATCCTCGTGTCTATGAGAGCAATGTCAAGGCAGCTTGAGGCAGTAGACCAAGCTCTTCGCGATCCGGCTCCGGTCCTGGTTCCAGGGCCCACATCTCCTGATTTTGATCTGTCCAGCAGTCTGAGAGTGGAAGCACATGGAATAAGTAACCCAGGTGAAGCTGTAGCAGTTAATTTCGCAGGTCCTCTGCTTCGATCTTTGACCCTAAATGGCTTCCAGTTCACCCCGTCTACAGAACCAGCCTGGCTGCAGGAAGCCTTTCATCAACAGCCCAACTCGTCCTTCCCTGATGCCTCCTCTTCATCCTCCTCAAACACTCCATCAGTCACTTCTTCCCTCAAACTCTACAAGTCAGTCCATTCTATCATATATGCTGCTGCCTTTGAAGGACTACAGAGGCTCTCTCTTGAAGGCTGCTCCGGCCTTGACGAAGACGACTTGGGTGCTCTGCTCAATGCTTGTCAGGGCTTACTCCACCTGACGATGGACAGGAACAAGGACTTTTCTGATGGAGTTATAGCTGGGGTGAAGCTGCCGTTCCTCTCCTCCCTGAGCATGCTGTCATGCAAGAATGTCTCTGCTGCTGGTGTTGACGGGCTTTTGAGAAGCTTCCCCAGGGTGGTGCAGGTGAAGGTGGAACAAGGGAAGGTTACTAAGAGGACTAGCAGGGCGCTCAGTCGTGCGTGTGTGTTTGTTATGAGTGAATGATGGGAGGTGGGGAAAAGTAGTGTGGAGGTCAGACTTTATGGTGTATTTGGTACGAGGTGTACCTGTCTGAACCAGCTGGATCACTGAATTCATTTCCTCTTGGCTGGTTTGCTAGTTTGCTGAATTCATCCCTATGTTTCTGCCTTTCCTCTGTACGGTGCCAGTACTACCAACATTGCTGTTTTTCCTGCCTGTAAGTTTCACTGGCGCAATCATATCGGTCGACAGACAGGAATATGCCAGAGACCTTTACAGAGTACACCTGTATGCAGAAATGTACATTTATGAGTTTATCACACAAACATCCATGCCAACATTGTGTTCCAGCATGCTTGTGTGTTCTTCGCACTTCACAAAGAGCTGGTGTAATAACACTTTATTCCCCTCATCTTATTTACATGCACATGGTACGGTATGTTCTTATTTACCACTTTCTCTAGCCTTTCCCCACCAGCAGCATGCAAAGCTCTCGCTCTCCCATTGATGTACGGTACATGTTCAATAGGAGCAAGGCCTCCGTCTACAGTGCACCCAGAGCAGGCGAGACCATCCAGTGTCAGGCAAGGCCGGATGCAGAGCAGACTCTGGCAGCAGCATGATTGCAGAGCAAGTGGGTAGCTGCAGGGCAGAGACTGTAGTGTGGTTGGAGGGCTGGAATGAAATGGCTGGCGAATGCTCAGCAGCTTGAGAAGATGCACATAAGTGCAGGCAGCAGCACTCTACACTACACCCCAACATACCGTACAAGGTACCAGCGTGGGAACAAAAAAGGGTCACCAGAAATGTCGAGCCCCAGGTGAAGCAACACATCCCAGCACATGTGCAGCCTTTACACTACTCAACAGGAGCGAGTCAATCATGGCTCAGCCTCCAATCCCACGCCGCCACCTGTACTCCGCCACGAGCCTATCCGCCAGCGCAGCGAGGAGCTCCTCATTGGTGGGCGCCAGCTGGCAGACCTCCCCCGCCAGCGAGGGGACGACGTTGCCGTGGGCTTTAAGAGCGTCCTCTGCCACTCGCTGCAGCAGCTGGATGTTCCTCTGTGATGCGTTGTCCATCCTGGTCGAGATGGACGGCAGGGATTGCACCTGACAGCGGGATGGGTGGGTGGATGCGTGTACGTGTGGGTGTGTTGTGGGTGGGAGCAGGGAGAGAGAACGAGAGGAGCGGATACATACATGCGAAGGCAGGGTACTACAAAGAGTGGGAAAACGCCAGGCAGCTGGCACACCTCCCATGTTGATGGGAGCAGCCAACTGGCAGGACATGCGTGCGATTTCCGCATGCACCATGCTGCCCTGTGGGGCACCTCGGATGAGCTTCCCACTCCACTGCTCAATGCTCACTCCATTCACCTCAATGCGTGTGTAGCTGTCTATTGCCCCATCCGCCAGAGAAAGAAGGCACATCTGAGCATGCACAATGTTGCCTCCCCCGTGAGGCGCGTCCAAGGCACTAGCCACAGAGACCCCCCAGGCACGCCCCACTTACCTCACCCCACACTCATGTCAATGCGAGTGTAGTTGTCTATGGCCCCATCTGCCAGAGCCAGCAGGCACATCTGAGCATGCACCATGTTGCCTCCTCCCCACACCATCACATCCACCATCGGCTCTGCCCACCCAATCAGTCCCCACCTGCAAAGAAGGAAAGCAATGACAATGCCAAACACAAGGCATGGGTGCACACAGGAGAGCATGAGTATGAGCGGTATGGTATGTCCCTCAGTGAGAAGTGAATAGGTAGCCGCCCCACACCATCACACCTGGGAATGCAAGGCATGGGTGGATGAACACATGAGGGCGTGAATGGTGCGTGTGTAACAGTGAGGGTAATGCGGGAGTGACTAGGTAGCCGCCCCACACCATCACATCCATCATGGATTCTGCACACCATTCGCAGCCCTCTTCCCTATACCAAGCACCAACCCACACTCACTTCTTCACCTCATCAATAGAGTATCGCCGCATGTGCTCGCCTGCTCCCAGAGACAGCACCACCACATCTCGGAATGTCAGCCGAGCTCGAGACAGAGGCTCCTCACACGACTCACTGCTGCCCGCTGCTTCCCCTCTTTCTCCTTCTCTCTCTGCTCCTCCCTTTCCTTTCTCAGCATCATGAAGAAGCGGGCTCGCACTCAGATCTGCTGCCTCTTGCACGTCTCCAGCCAGCAAACAGCTCGCATCAGCAGACGCTGCACCAGCCATTGCTGCTGCAGGTGAGATCTCTCCTCGCGAATTCCCTGCACTCGTGCCCGCTGCTGCTGTTGCCTGTGAAAGCCAATCTGCATCAGCGGCAGGTGCCGAAGACGAGGCGTGAAGTGCAGAAACAGGTGTTGTGGCTGATGCCTTGATTTCCCCACCTCCCGTTTCCCCATCGTCGTTAGTGTCTGCATTGTTGCTTGGAGCGTTTTTTGCAGCGCTGCTTGTACTGCCGCTCGCACCATTGCTTGCACTGGTGCTTGCCCCGTTGTGTGCACCATTTTCGTTGTTTTCTCCAGGAGGTTTGAAGGTGGACGGGTTGGCAACGATGTGCAGGAACGCTGCTACAGTCTGCAAAATACAGGCCATGCCACACCCCATCAGAACCATCTGTAATGGGTCATAGAAAGGGCATCTTAAGAGACTAGAAAAAAGCATAGAAAGAACAGTAAAGACTGAAAATGAGGATCACAAACGAGAAATTGTTTGAGAAGCTTGAAGCAACATACAATGCGGTAGGGAGAGGATGGGGGAGCGGCAGAGAAGTGGTGAGTGGAGCTGACAGATATGATCACACCGCCATTCCACTATGCCACCATAAACCACCGGCCCACTCACAGGGGTACTAACCACCATGCCCCCAAGCTCACAGGGTTGTTGGCGACCATGCCCCCATCCACGCACACCATCTCCCTCCGCCCATCCACCGATCGAACGAGAGCCGGCATGAAGATGCTGGGAGCTGCTGACGTGGCTCTGCAGGCCTGCATTGGCGGAATGGTTAAGCCAGAGTGCAGTAAGAGAGCCATAAATCGCTGTGCCCCCACCCCACAGTCTCACGCTGGGAGCTGCTGACGTGGCTTTGCATGCCTGGTCGGGCCAAAAGTGCATCAAAACCTTTTAAGGCGACGCTTCAAGACTGTAAAATCGCTGAAGTGCTAGACCAAGATAGCTCTGGCGCATGAATTCATGGAAGCAAGGGAAGAGAAGTATCAGAGGTACTAACAGAACTCGGAAATGAAATGGCACACATAGGGTGAAGCTTAAACGCGGCTGGCTGATGTTTAATAGATTTGGAGCTTAGCTGCAACTCCTTGTGGGCAAATTTCCACCCACAGTTAATCCAGAAGCTTCACTGGGATTCTCAGATTGAATCGTTGGGTAAACATGATAATGAAATGACTACTTTAGTTCACAACTCGCCTGAATAAGGGGGAAGTTGTGGCTCGAGTCGGGCAAAGCCCTCAGGCTGAGAGGAGGAGAAGGGCGAGTCTTTTCACACAGCCCAATTTTCCAATCGGCCCACAGTAATGCATAAGCCTTCACAGCCAAGCTGGATAAGAGGGAAGTTGTGGCTCGGGTCGGTCAAAGCCCTCAGGCTGAGGAAGGAACAAGTACGGCCAGAGCCAATCACACAGCCTAATGACCGATTAGCACCACAAAGGCCCTGTAACGGCAAGAGCTCATAACATGCCAGCATGATAACCCACCTGGATGAGCGGGAAGTCGTGGCTCGAGTCAGAAGAAGCCCTCAGGCTGAGGAAGGAACAAGTACGGCCAGAGCCAATCACACAGCCTAATGACCGATTAGCACCACACAGGCCCTGTAACGGCAAGAGCTCATAACATGCCAGCATGATAACCCACCTGGATGAGCGGGAAGTCGTGGCTCGAGTCAGAAGAAGCCCTCAGGCTGAGGAAGAAGTATGGGCGGAGCCAACTATAGAGCCTAATGAATGACCTGATAGTAGTAGTACCGCACAGGCCACCATCACAGCTCGCCACCCAACTCGCCCTCACAACTCGCCTGGATAAGGGGGAAGTCGTGGCTCGAGTCAGACAACGCCCGCAGGCTGAGGAAGAAGTACGGCCGGGCGGTGCTGATGTCATATGACGTCAGCAGGAGCGGCTTGACGGCCTCTGATAGGCAGAGGTCCGCCGCGCCACAGTGCTGCCTGAGGAAATGACGCAGAAGCTGCTCCAAGACCTCCACCTGATAATGACGGGGGAAGAGCGGGTACACAACGGTGCAGTGAGGTAGCTGAGAAGTGCCACAGAGCTGCCTGAGGAAATGACGCAGAAGCTGCTCCAGGACCTTCACCTGACGAGGGAGGAGGGTGAGAGGGGGCGCAGAGTGGTGAAGTTGGGTGCAATGAAGTAGCTGCGAAGAGCCCCAGTGCTGCCCTGAGAGCGAAGCGGGGAAGAGTGGTACAGTGACAGTGGGTTTAAAGTGGTACTTGGGCCGCCATATGTACCTGAGTGTGGCAGCCCATCGCGGCCAGAATCTCCTCCTGAGGGTGTGCTTGGAGTGCAGCGACCAGAAGGCAGCCACGTCCTACCAGTGCCCTCATGACTGCCCGGTCGGGTACCCCTGTCGCCTTGTGGGATGAGCTTGAGAGTATGCTCACCTTATATTTAGGGCGCCATATGTTCCTCAGTGTGGCAGCCCATCAAGGCCGGAACCGCCTCCTGAAATTCTGCTTGGAGTGCAGCGACCAGATGTCTGCCACGCCCTGATTGCTGGACTCGCTGTTGCCCTGTTGCCCCTGTAGGTCGGTCGGTACCCTTGTCCCCATGTACAAGCACACCCACCTTGTATTTAGGCCGCCATATATTGCGCAGTGTCGCAGCCCATCGCGGCCAGAACCGCCGCCAGAAGATGTGCTTGGAGTGAAGGGTCCAAAAGTCTGCCACGTCCTGAGCCCTGATGGCTGGCCGCCCCGTCGCCCTGTGTGGGGCTGTGAGCATGAGGGCAAGCAGACCGCCGCCACTGGTGCCTGGGGGGATTGAAAACAGGCGAAGAGAGAAGGAGATTGCACAGATTGTTAGTTAGCCTTACTCTGAGCCGTGATGGCTGGCCGCCCCGTCGCCCTGTGTGGGGCTGTGAGCATGAGCGCAAGCAGACCGCCGCCACTGGTGCCTGGGGGAATCGAGGGAGGAGGGCGAGATGGGAGATAACGGAAAGAGAGCAGGGAATGACATTGCACACCTCCTTTCCTTGGTCCTGAGCCCTGATGGCCGCCCGGCCCGTTGCCCCGTGAGGGGCAGTGAGCATGAGCGCAAGCAGACCCCCACCACTGGTGCCTGGAGGAAACGAGGAAGCAAGGAGAGACATTAGGAATGAGAGCGAGAATAAGGAAGGAACTTGCACACCCTGTTATCCGTGTCCTGAGCCCTGATGGCCGGCTGCCCCGTTGCCCTGTGAGGTGCTGCGAGCATGAGAGCGAGCAGACCCCCACTACTGGTGCCTGGAGGGGATGGAGGAAGCAGGCTGAGATGGGAGAGAAGGGACGGACCTTGCACAGCTCCTTTTATTTGTTTTGAGCCCTCATGGCCGGCCGCCCCGCCCCACCCCACCCCACCCCACCCCACCCCGCTGCCCTGTGGGGCGCTGTGATGTGAGCATGAGGGCGAGCAGACCACCACGGCCAGTGCCTGGAGAGACCAAGGGAGGAAGGAATCAGGGAGAGACGGGAGAGAAGGGAGAAATTTGCACAGAGATTTAGTGCAAAGGTTCGGCCGGGGAGACAGAGCAGGGCAGCTGACTCGACTCTCCAGCAAAGAGGTCGAAGAAATCCGCCAGTCGCACATCCAGGTCCCCGCATCGCTCCTGCAACATGGCCTCCAGAGGAACGCTTATCTGCCTGGGAAGGGAAATCAGCCTAAGGGAGAGAAAGCAAGCCGGGTGGCTCACCAGCAAAGAGGTCGAAGAAGTCTGCCAGTCGCACGTGGGGATCGCCGCATCTCTCCTGCAGCATGGCCTCCAGGCGAACACAGATCTGCGTGGGGATGGCGTCCCTCACTCCCCCTCCGTCCACACTCAGCACTGCCAGCAGCCGGGGAGGTCTGGAGGGGAGCGGCTCCGCCGTACCACCTCTCGGTGCTGAGGAAGCATGACCAGCAGGATCTCGTGCTGCCATGTCAGCATCACCAGCACCGCTGCTTGCTGCCACGTCAGCATCAGCAGCACCGCTGGCACCAGCAGCATCGGCACCAACACCCCCTCCTCCGCCCCTGTCCCCTCCCTTTCCCTCTTCCCCTGCAGGACAACCAGGACTAGCCACAGCTTCGCACCTTCCTGGAAGCTCCGGGTACATCTGCATGAGAACGTCACTGTTTGAAATCAAGTTCCCTTGTAAACCCTCCTCCAACCTCTCTCCCACCCCCGATCCCTCTCCCAATCCCTCTCCCACTTCCTCCGCCGCTCTCTCTCCCCCAACCACCTGCTGCAGATCTCTCCCCTGTGAATCCCCCCCCTCCTCAGGAGGAGTCTCAAGGCTCTCTCGCTCACCCACCCGTTTCAAGCCCCCCACAACCACGCCATGCCCCAAGCCTCCTGCTCCGATTCGGCCCAAACCAGGTGCCCCAGTCGGGCCAGAGCTATTTGGGTCGGCATACTCTTGTCTGCTTCTGCCAGACTCAAGCTGAGTGCTGCTGTCCTGTTCCTCTGGTGATTCAGATACTTCAGGTGATTCTTCAGGTAACCCTCTCCCTCTTCCTTGCTTCTTTCCTTTGCCCCCCCGTAACAGCCATAAGCACCCCTTACCACGCCTCCCCACTCCGTGTTCTACTTTATTCTTCTCCTCTTTCGTCATCCGCTCGTTTCCCGTGCTGATCTGGCTGGTAGAGGAATCTGGATCCTTTTTTTTCGAAGCCCAGAAGCCAGTGAATCTGTGCCACGTGGAGCCTATCCCTCCTCTCATTTGCTTCACTGCCAGCTCACATGCCACACACTCCTCCTCACACACCACCACCCCCTCCTCCCTCACTCCCCCACGCACTATCTCTCTCACCCCCTCACGCACTACCTCACTCGCTCCCTCACTCTCTCCTCCACTCACACTCCCCTCCGAGTTTTCCCAAACCTCTTCCTCGCACACCACCTCGTCTTCTCTCTCTATCTCCCTCACTCCCCCCCTCCTCCTCTCCTGCGTCCCTTCCCACTCCCCTATATCCTCACATACCACCACCTCTTCCCCCGTATCCTCTCTCTCACTCCCACCCCTACACTCCCCTCCTTCCTCCTCATCCTCGCTAAGAGGTTCGAAAACAAGACCACCAGGGGAACGAAACGAAACCTCCTCGAAATTCTCTAAACCCTCCATCTTGGAGGCTCGTTCTGACAAATATCCACCGTCCGATCCTGTTGCCATACCGCCTCCCTGTGAATCAGCGCAGCACCTCCCTTACTTGCTGGGAATATGAGTTAAGAAGAACGCGCAATTCCTGCTCGGATCTTTCTCCCACCGCCCCACAACCGCCGGGAAAGGTGTACGCTGGATATAACCTCGATATTGTCAATCTCGTTGATGTACAAGGATCGCTGGGACGCACTGTAGTACGCTGGTGCCAGTTCACGATCATTACGGTAAATTTGCAGCGGTTTAGCCGAACCCGCCAAACATACTGCACGCGCATCGGACGGTCCAGATTGTTCTTCTTCCATCGCAACAACCGCACTTGTGATTGGGATATCTCGAAGCAGCAACATGCCACTTAGCGAACGTTTACCAGGAAGCTCCAATATTGTGACTCTAACGAAATCTCAGTTTATTAGCAGCTTGGCCGTAAGCTTCAAATCTGCTCCGCGGTTGCCAGCTGGTTGTGCTAGTGTGACGCAAGAATGACGTAGGTGTAACGTGAGATTAAGCCTAAAAGCTGCATGAGCGACAACTGTGACGTGGCTGGTAGCGTCGCCAACTAGTAAAGCGTGTCGTGGCGTGGCGATGACACGAAAGCATTCGTTGCTCCGTCGGATCATCATGCAGTGAGAGTAGCGCCCGGCGCAGGGCTGGCAAGTGAGCGAGCTGTTATTTTACTAAAAGCGAAGCACGTCTGTCTCTCATTCTGTAAAACGATGCATGCTTTGGAGAATTCAGATTCAGCTGTGGTAAGAAATTCCTCTTCTGATATCTGAATCTACGCATGTCGCATTGCATTTATGCCCCACTGCACAGTTCCGGCTGCTGATGGAACCGATCCGAAACGAGCAGAACAATCAAATACACTGTTGTGTTTTGTCCCTTCCCTGACATCTGTGAGGTGTATGGTAAGTGCTTCGCTTCGAGCGGTCGCGCTAAGGAGTTCGCACAGGGTAGCTTCAATAAAAAGGAAATAAATTATTATTATCTGCCATTTTACAGCCATATGATTAAAAAAACCCAACTAAGTTGCTTCTTCTTCGTCATCCTCCACACCAAACACCGATGCAAGTTTCTTTGGTGGAGCTGCAGCTTTCGACTTCCCAAAAAAACCCTGAAAAGCACAACCGTGATCACACGATATTTAGTATGCTAACCATTGGCAAGATGCAATGGCATGTTTTTCCAAATGGCAGCGTTAGTACCTTCTTTGCGGCCCCTGGTTTGGTCTTCATTGAGATGCCAAATTTGAGGGCAGAGCGATCAGCCGGAATAGCTGAAGTTGCTGCAGCTGGACGGGGTGCTGCTGACACAGCTGATGCCCCCCCTGCTTCTACAGCTGCCGCTGCTGGCGCCACTCCTGTCGGCTGCTGCTGCTGTTGCTGCTTCTGGGCCTCCACACTGCAAGGATCGATAAAGAAATTTAATTTATTTAAGAAAGCAGACAGTGTAGCAAAAGCTACTTCAAAGGCATTCCAATCGCCATGGTGCCAATATTCACTCTGAAAAAATATCCGGTGCAGCATCAAAGTACTTGAGCAAAAGTCGGGAGTCACAGCTTGGGATAGCGCGCCAGGCCCTCTCCTCCTCCCTCAAATCCTCTTCTCTCAGCGGCCTTTTCATCGACTCAACAAACAGGCAAGACATCTAAGTACCTGAGCGAAGAGACAGAGAACAACAACAACAACAACGGGCTCACAGCTTGGCGTAGCACGCCAGCTCTCTCTCCTCACTCACCACTCTTGAGATGACTCTAAATTAGGTGCGGCACCAAATGCCCCGCACACGAAAAGAGAAATGGGACTCACAGCTTGGCATATCATGCCAAGCTCCGTGTCCTCCCTCATCGACTCTTGAGTGGAGGCACGGCACGTAAGGCCCAGAGCAAGAGAAGAAGAGTGGGCTCACAGCTTTGCCCCGTCAGCTCCGTCTCCTCCCTCAGCTGTTCCTCCCCTCAGCGGCGTTTGAGTCGACTCAAGTAACAGGCACAAAGAGAAAGAGAGAGAATCATACAGGAACTCACAGCTTGGCGTATCAGGCCAACTCCTTCTCCCTCAGCTGCTCCCCCTTTAGGGTCATTTGAGTCGAGTCGACAACCAGGCAAGGCACATCTAAGGGGGCCTGAGCAAAAGAAGAAAGAACGACTCACAGCTTGGCGTATCGAGCCAGCTCCTTCTCCTCCCTCAGCTGCTCCCTCCGCTGCCTCTCGTCCCTCACGCCCTGCTGCTGCATCTTCTTGGTCTCTTGGAAGCGCTGTGAGGAGGAATGAATGAATGTGATGCAATGGAGAATGGAGAATGGGGATGGTTACATTGGAGAACGGCAAACTGCACAGGAAATATGGTTAGCTGCTTAAAAAGACACCAGACAACAAAAAGAGAACAGAGGAAAGGTATTTCAACATCATGGTATGTTGTGATGGGACGGGAAGTGGCACCAGACACCATTGGTCAGCTGGATTTAGAAGCACACTTAGTTTCAACGAATATGAACGTGTCAACTGCGACACCCCTCAGCACAGCTCACCTTCCTGTGGTTGTGGTCGTAGCTGCTGAGGTGCATCTCCATCTCGCTCGCCAGCTTGTACTGCTTGTTGCACAGCTCGCACAGAAACACCCTCTGAATCTCCTTCACATCCGCTCGAATCTTTTCCACCCTCTCCGCCACCTCCTGGTTATGCCCACCGATGCATAGCATGTGTGTTGTACCCGCACGAGTCACACAGCGTGTGTGACGCACATGCGCCGCAACGTGTGCCGCAACATGCGCCACCGTGCATTACACACACCATGTCACGGCGACACAGTTGCACAGATCCCCCAGGCGTTGCCACGAGCGGGATGGGGGCACCCGTGGGAGGCGTTCAGCGGAGCCGTTGCGTTGCAACATCACCAGCAGCAGTTGATTGTTGGGTTGAAACGGATAAGGGCCCATTGGGGAGGGACAGGCGCCCATTGAGGGGCCGAGGAGGAGGAGGAGCAGGAGGAGGAGGAAGCAAACGGGAAGAAGTGCAGGCAGGCAGAGTAAACAGGAGAGGAGACGGAAGGGAGAGGGGAGGGGAGGGGAGAAGAGGGTAATAACAGCCAGCGGGGCGAGCGATCCACAGGGCACTCCTCCTACTGTCCTTGGCGATGGACACAGGCTTTAAGCCGTAGGAGCAGCAGTGCAGCGGACGGTGCGTGCGCAGTGCAGGATGAAAGAGGTGCTAGGAAGCGTGCAACTCCAAGCAAAGACATGAAAGAGTGGAGGGGTGCTGCAGCCTGTGCTGTTGCTTTGCCTGGTGGCTGGGGTGGAAGGGTTGTTGGGGACGTGGAGGAGGGATAACAGGGGAGGAAGAAGAGCGAGGAAGGTTCACAATTGGAGAGCCTGTCGGTGAGGAGTGAGCATACAGAAGTGTGCATGCCTTTTTTAGAAGAAAATTATTCACACCCACCCCCGTCACCACTCTCTTCTTCTCTACCTCCTCCATTCTCCTCCACTCCACATACACTCCACCTCCAGCTTTCTAAGAAACAATACTCACCTCTCCTAACCCCTCTCAGCCCAGCCTGCTTTCCCCTCACCTCTCTCTTCTTCGCCACCTCCTCTGTCTCCTCCACTTCTATCTCCAGCTTCTTTCGCTGCACGTTCTCCTCTGCCGTGTACCACTCCTCCTCCTCCTGCTTCCCCAGCCCAAGTCGTGCATCTCGCATCTCTGTTCGCACCGGGTCCACTATGCCTGGGGGAGGGGGAAAGAGAGGTAGAGGGGTAGTGGGCGGGGGAAGAGGGGTAGCGGGAAGGGAGACTAGTCTTTCTCTGCACGTTCTCCTCTGCCGTATACCGCTCCTCCTCCTCCTGCTTGCCCAATCCCAGCCGTGCATCCCTCATTTCCGTTCTCACTGGGTCTACTATGTCTGTAAAGGGGAAGAAAGAGTGGGAAGGGGAAGGGGGGAAGAGCGGGAGTAGGTGAGCAAGGCGAGAAAAAGAAGGTTGGGAGTTGGTTGGTTGGGAAGGGGGGAAGAGGGGAAGTGAATAATCCCCTTTCCCTGCACGTTCTCCTTCGCTGTGTACCACTCCTCCTCCTGCTTGCCCAGCCCCAGCCGTGCGTCCCTCATCTCTGTGGGAACCGGGTCTACTATGCCTGGGATGGCGGGAGAAGGGGGAAACGGGACGGGTGGGAGGGGGTGAGGCGGTAGGGGTGGGAGGGGGTGGTAGGGTTGGGGGTTTGAGGTGGGGCGGGAGGGGGGTGGAGGCAGGAAACGGGGAGCAGGAAAGGGAGGGAAGAGGAGAAGAGGGGAAGAGGGACAGGGCACATATCTTCCTCCGCTGCACATTATCCTCTGCTGTGTACCACTCCTCCTCCTCCTGCTTGCCCAGCCCCAGCTGTGCGTCCCTCATCTCCATGCGAACCAAGTCCACGATGCCTGTAAAATTGGAAGAAAGAGGGGGCAGGGAAAGGGGGGAAGAGCAGGGCGGGTGTAGGGTGGGGATGGCGAGAAAAAGAAGGTTGGGAGTTGGTTGGTGGGGAGGGGGGGAAGAGGGGAAGAGAGGAGGAAGGACTAATTCCCTTTCTCTGCACGTTCTCCTCTGCCGTATACCACTCCTCCTCCTCCTGCTTCCCCAGCCCCAGCCGTGCATCCCCCATCTCCATGCGAACCGGGTCCCTCCTCTCACTTCCACCCCTCTCACCTTGCTCATTCCGCCCCAGTCCCTTCCCCCGCCATCCCATCTTCAGCAGCAGCTGGAACCCCTCGTTGCTGCACGCGATGTGCTTTCCCTCTTCCCTCTCCCCTTGCCCCCCGTCATGCCTGCCCTCACCTTGCTCATTCCGCCCCAGTCCCTTCCCCCGCCATCCCATCTTCAGCAGCAGCTGGAACCCCTCGTTGCTGCACGCGATGTGCTTTCCCTCTTCCCTCTCCCCTTGCCCCCCGTCATGCCTGCCCTCACCTTGCTCGTTCCGCCCCAGTCCCTTCCCCCGCCATCCC